TTGGTGATATTTTCACAGAGTTTTTGGGATTTTGAAACATTTCAGTGGAATGTATAGCATTTTGGAGTATTCTCGAAGATGGTGAAGTGTTGCATGTTATGTAAAAAGCGATTTAAGCGCGATAAAAGCAGATGTTTACTCGTCTAAAATTTTCGTTCAAGGTCAAATTTTGTGTAAACAATAATCTGTTGATGTTGCTAACAAAAAATCGTTTTAACATCATATGGGCTTGGCTTCTTCTAACCTAGCCCGAATTCGTTGATTGTACCTGACCCTGGCAGTTGCAGGGCATCTGCACAAAACGTGCTCAACCGTTTTGTCTCCTATGCACAGTTTGCACCCAGCGTCTTCCGCCATGCCCAGCCTGCTCATGTGGTGATGCAATTTGAAATGACCAGTATACATGGTGTCCAAAAAGTATCCCAAGCCGGAAACGGGAGATAGGCGAAGACATAATAGTTATCAGAGAAATAAGAAAAATCTAAGTCGTGTACTTTTCAAATTATAGGCTTTGAAATAAAATCGGGAAAGTCTACACCCTGTGATATTTCAGTTCCCATTACAATAACTTTCAATGTTTCCTTAGTCGGAGTGACGGACATTGTCATTCTACCTAATGACAGCATGATAGTAACGCTACTTTTATTAATGAATGAGGCGAATATATTTTTTAAATTCACAACAAATGCTGCCTTCCTTCAGTAGCAATGCAAGCTTGAAATCTTAAGAATGATCGGGTTATCCGACTGGCGAATATTAACAAATTCAGCTGCATTCGTTATACTGTCCTGTAGTCAGTAAAATTTTCGGTTGGCTTTGAATAAACTGTTTCTTTCACCGCTCCCCAGTAAAAAATCGAGTTAGTAAGGTGAACGGGCTGGCCACAAAATTGTACCAGACCGCTCAGGCAGCCGTCTTGCTGGTACCACATGTCTCTGTAAATGCTTAGTGGCACGTCTTCCAATAAATTTGGTGAATGATTTTATAAAAATCAAGATTCAAGACCGCTCAAAGGGTATAATAAGTCTCCTATTTAGAATCCCCGTCCACATTTTTAAAAGGATACTCCGATCTTGTCTCATCAAATGTTGATCTTCTATCATGCCACTAATGTAAGTTGTGTAAATTCATGTAAGCATCTTTTTTAAATGTCGGCTCAATAGACCACAACATTTTCTCTAAAAATCGCGGATCTTCTCAGTGTGTCTGTAACATTGTTGTTCAACTCTTGGAAAATAGTCCCGGGATTGTCGAGATTGTACTCGTTGTACGTGGACTGATGGGCATACCCGTGCTTGCTTCTATTTGACGTACTGAAGTACGCGAGTCTTGTTCGACTGCATGTAGTACAATGTCCTCGTAAGGAATAGAAATTGCTCCTTTACCATGTGCTTGATTTGGGAATCGTGCCTCTGAGAGTAAACGGTGCACATTCTCAAAACCTCGGTGATTGGGATGTCGAACAGCATTTGGGTACCTCTCACGATAAAGCCTAGCTGCAGCACTAGCATTGCATCTACATTCCACATAAATGAAGTGCATGCTGACGTATACTTGTACGGTGTACGAAGGGTGGCCCTACACAATCATGAATTAATAAAAGTGGCGTTACTCTCTGTCTTGCTGTAACTACGTAGAATGACACTGCCCGTCACTCTGACTAAGAAACAATTGAAATTTGTAGTAATGAGAACTAAAAGATCATCATCATCATCATTTTTCTGATTTTTCTGATATTTTTAAGCCTATAATTTGAAAAGTACACGACTTAGATCTTTTTTATATTTTTCTGATAACTATTATGACTTGGCTTATCCCCCGTTTCCGGCTTGACGTCGACTTCTAGGATACCCTCTACAGTCTCACTAAAGCTTTAATACTACGTCTGTTGATCCGCAAGCGTTATTTGTCAAGAATGCATGGGTTAACCCCGCTAATCCCTCCCAGTATTGATGGATCTTTACGTTCATCTCTAAAGAGACTATTTGTTTAGCCGTATTGTACGCGATCCCGATCTATGAAGACTGTGCTAGCCAGAATGTCTCGTTTCCCTTCAGACATGTATGTCCTAGTATCCATATGAGATGTCCTTTATTTACAACCTCTGCGAGACCATGAGCTTCTTTACAATTCCACAAATGCTTCAAGCGCGGCTTGATTATCTGAAAAAATATTCTGGCATGCAGTTCTAAAAAAACGGTGTATGAGGTCGAGAGTGAACATGTTTATTTCGTCTCTGTTCGTTTCATATTCCTGTAGAAAAACTAGCGGAATATTTGAGGTGCTAATTATACCACCCCTTTCTGCATTGCTGCAGGTAAAATCCGTGTTTGTTTAAAGTAATTTCGTAATACGTAGCCACAGTAATGCTGCACGTTTGAGATGGTGAATTGCATTTATTGTTACACATTGTCTCGTACAAAACCTGCTATTTTTTTTTCGAGGCATGTAAGAAAAATGCGCATACCAGCTGTATTACCAATTCTATTGACCCTGGTCTATGATGGAAATGTGATGAATGTAAAGGCAACTGCCTGTTTATTAACGAAAAGGGCGTCAATACAGTGCTGTCGAAAAAAAATAATGCTTCACTTGGGCAGATCAAAAACGAAATTCTTGCCATAAAGGATGAGCTGCTGAACCATGCTGTCAAGGAGACTAACCCTCCAGCTGATCCTTCTCGTTATTCTGATGTACTGTGCAAAAGAACTCAACCAGCCATTGTTATTCGTCCAAAAAATACTAATCAGTCAGTAACACAAACCAAGACGGATATTCTAAAGTCAGTTGATCCCGTTGAAGCCAACATTCATCTGACTAAAGTTCGTGATATCAAGGAAGGTGGGATAGTGCTTGGTTGTAAGAGCAAGGCGGATAACTTAAAACTGCTTTCCATTGCAAAAGAGAAGTTAGGTGATTCATACGACATCAAAGAAGTTGCTGGCATTAATCCTAGGGTAGGAATAGTTGGATTGACTGGCGAATACTCCGATGAGCAGTCGTAGCTACCTTCTGAAGGGTAATCCGGACGTGTTTTGTTGTGATGTAGAGTGTACAGTTTTGAAAACGTATGCTGTTAAAAAAATAATAAAATCTTCCAATCTGTTCTGTTTTGAGGTTTTTTTTTGTAGCATTTTGTCTTTCTCTACATACATCCACTACATGCATTTGTTTATATTTTCATGTTTATCCATCCTGTAATTGGCTATGGCTGTTGGATGTTGCTAAATAAATAAATAAATAAATACAGCTCCAACTGGAAAATCGATGCATTGGTTCCTAAGCTGACTGATTACTCAATCTTTAGCTTCGCCACGAACATCGCGGCCCCAACACCTACTTCGGTCTTCGAGCTACAGATCGATAGGTTATCGTAGGTCTAATGACCATGGTATAAAGCCAAACATTTGCTTAGACTTCATTCTCCAGGTCTTTCCACAGACTCTTAAGCAGTTCCATAACGAGATCCTTGCATTCTTAAGAACTGCTTCCAGATGCGTATTCCAGTTTAGCGTTTTACGTAAAATTACTAGATATTTCGCCTCTGTCGCAAACGATATGTTTTCACCTCGGATTGCTGGAAGTGTAGCCACATATATGTACAGAACGAATTTCCAGTGTTTCCAGTATACCTTCTTAAATTACAGATATTTATTTTTGATGTAAGCATTCACTTTATACAAAGACAACTCTAGTCGTACTCCAGCAGTCCTTGGGAACGTCAATGGACCCTCGGTCAGTTGTAGCGGTAATTGACACCGGCACGGGTATTATGTAAAAAAAACCTAAACGTCAAAAAAACCTATAAAATGTCATCTTGCAGTCTAGGTAGTTTTTAGGGTGCAAAAGTCATTCCACGTTTGCTCAATAGGATCGTTGTGAGCGTCCATCTATGGAGAAGTGACTCAACTAAACTACACGCATTGTTGATTGCATAATATGTCTTGTGAAACCAAGTGGTCTGTTGTTTTTATCTCTGAGAAGAAAGTTGCTCGAATAGCAAGATCGCATCTGGATGATTATTTTAGTGGCCTGCGTGTGTATAAAATCAGTGATATTTGCTGTGTGAGAAAATCATTACTGAATACGCTGCCAATGAAGTATATCTATTAGCTGTGCCCGACGAGTTATTTATATGTTGTTCTTTCAGACAGGTTATCTAACTTTTGAGGAGAATTACGGGAAATCACCACCGCACCCGGGTTGTGTGTAATTACTGCTAGCATGTATATGACATAATTCGACAGTGTACAGTGAATATAATTATTTTTTATCTCTCTCATTTTTGAAATTTATCAAATTTACATAATATGTAATTTCCAGAAAGGATAAGCAAAAGTGGATGCGCAACTAATTTCTAGCTTTGAATATCAAGTAAGTGTATTTGAGACAAAAATCCAACATACAGCTTAGAGCTCCAGTAATGCCACCTCTGAAGCAGATTTTACATCACATCAGAACCAAACATTGATAACTGAAGCCTCATGACGTTTAGGCAACACGTACAACTACAAAACGAGTTCACAACGTGTCCATAAGCTAGTACTGAGTTAAAATCTTGTAGAAAAAACCTACATAAATATCACAAAAAACCAATATAATGTCAAAAAATCGACAGTCACTTTTCAAGATACGTAATACCCGCGCGGGTTAGAGATATACTCATTTCAATTACCCAAGGTACAAGTTTGTCCGCTCCCGCATATCATTAGCTAATCAAAATTGTAACACGAGAATGAACTTACGCGTACACAGTTTAAATGAACAACACGTTTTTGACTATCAGGGACTGTCATGCACTCATCCAAACAAGCAAAATGTATAATGCTGTAGAGTTACGTATTGTACTACTCACAAATAAACTGTAAAAAACTGTTCAGATCTATCAGAATTTCTTGCTTAAAGTATCCTTAGATGATCTACTGAATTCGAATATGATCACCACTTGTTAGTAATAATAAAATTAGGTCAGCTGAAAATATATATGATGATTTTCCCACCTGACGACAGTTGCAACATACATGCAGTACTCTCGGCAATAGGTCTGAAGGTTCTCCTATATGATGTGTTGTTGTGCTCCGATAAAACTGAATTCTGACTCGCTGAATCCAGTTTAGCGCTTCTGGTCATCTGTTTTTCGAGATGTACCAATTTCGGTCTTTTACTTCTCGTATCCGCCACCTCGCTCTCCGTAGAATTACTTTCGCTATCTGAAGTTTCAGAATTCACGCCTTTGTTTTCTTTAAATGACGGCCTAAACCTTTTCTTTAATTTTCTGTCCGAGGTGTGAGCTTTTTCATGGAGATTGGCTATAACGAAATGAAACATTTAAAAGTAAATTAGCAACAATAAAGTTGACTTTTAAGCACATACATAAAAATGGCGTCAAGTAATTCAGCACAAGTTAGTCTCTCTTAGGAAAAAGTTAGCTACGCACACGTATGAAAAAGAAATTAAATTGAACATGTCAGTCAAACAGGCTCATACAATTAGTCTAGGGTCCCACAGATTTTTCAACATTGCGGTATAGCCTACCGCCTTACCGACAGTACCGACCACCCAGCAACATATTCACGTTGTGTTACATCAAGATAAGAGTTTTCAAAAGTTCTAGTGAAAAATAATGAGGCTATGCTACTTATGGTTTCAAATTACCACTCTAAATGGAATGGGATATATCTAGGTGCATGGTACATATTTTGGAGGTATTCAATGTATCCATAAAAACGCGACTTATTGTAGTAATTACCTTTAGGATATGCTTTTTCGGTGGTATTAGAACCTTTCGGCTCCAGATCTTTGTCCTTTCCATCTTTATGTTTGTCTAGTTCATTTCTATTAGAGCAATATCGCATATCATACCTTGATGGAATAGGAACATCACCAGAAAAACTTTGTTTATTGCTGCTAACGTCTTTGTTTTTTTTGCCAGCTCCGCGTGTTTTTGTATCTGCAATAATGATGTCAATTGAAATTCAATACCCAGAAGTAAGATGCACAAGAATAAAATGAAGATATTTGCTAGACGCCTTCAAATACTCGATAACCCGGAAATTACCTGTATATACAAAATGTGATTCAAATTGCCTTAATAAGTCATTAAATTAAGATTGAAAAAAATATTGAAGTTTAATTCCTTGCAAGATCTCGTTGCTATAGATTCTATAATGTTAATTGTTGAACAAAATTCAATTACCATTTGTAGCCCCATCTTTGAATTTCCTCAAATTCACCACCAAATTATCCATATTTTTACCATTTTTAGCTTTTTCTTTCCATTGACCATTTTTTTGTACTTCCGAACGCACCCTCTTCATCGTAACAAATACTTCAGATGCAAAAGAGCTTGACACGTTTGTCGAATTTGCACTTTCTTTTTGAGAATCCCGTGAGCTTGAATCTACAAGAATAATTTTTGAATATCGGTTATCAAATTTTGAAAACATGTTTCCATTATGTGATATTAGCCCATTAAAAACAGTTGTACAGTCTTCAAATGGCTTGATGAACTTAGGTATGTGTTACACGAGTGATATAGCTTAAAATATTATTATACAAAAACCAAGTCACCTTTTCGTTTGTAATTTTTATCCTGTGATTGACAATTGCTGTGTCTGAAGCTTCTTCTCAATGGGCTAGCTTCAGCAGAACTAGAATTCTTCCCATTGTTGTCAGACACCTTTTTCCTCGTATCAGTATCAGTTGATTTAGAATCTGTAATATTGCAACAAAAACATCATGTTTCTATTTAAAGTCGAATGTATTACTCTCACACTAATTTATTACAAATTTATAACCATGTCGACTGGACTATCGCGTTTCACGCAGTTGCTGACTCGTCATCCGCTGTCAGTACTCGAGCCGTCATCGAAGCTTGCTAAATGGCGTTCGATGTTCTTCAAAGTTCTAGTTACGAGCGCGTTACAAGATTTTATATATATATATATATATATATATATATATATATATATATATATATATATATGCTCAAACTGAACAGAAATTAGTATGTTCAGATGAAATTATGACTGAATTAGCATGATAACGGCATACAAGGATATTTTCCTTTTGTCGCATATCAATTTGTTCACAATTTGTAATTCATGTGAATAAATTATTATTATTAATTATATTGAAGTTTAATTCCTTGCAAGATCTCGTTGCTATAGATTCTATAATGCTAATTGTTGAACAAAATTCAATTACCATTTGTAGCCCCATCTTTGAATTTCCTCAAATTCACCACCAAATTATCCATATTTTTACCATTTTTAGCTTTTTCTTTCCATTGACCATTTTTTTGTACTTCCGAACGCAGCCTCTTCATCGTAACAAATACTTCAGATGCAAAAGAGCTCAACACGTTTGTCGAATTTGCACTTTCTTTTTGAGAATCCCGTGACCTTGAATCTACAAGAATAATTTTTGAATATCGGTTATCATGTTTCCATGATGTGATATTAGCCCATTAAAAACAATTGTATAGTCTTCAAATGTCTTGATGGACTTAGGTATGTGTTACACGAGTGATATAGCTTAAAATATTATTATACAAAAACCAAGTCACCTTTAGGTCGTTTGTAATTTTTATCCTGTGATTGACAATTGCTGTGTCTGAAGCTTCTTCTCAATGGGCTAGCTTCAGCAAAACTAGAATTCTTCCCATTGTTGTCAGACACCTTTTTCCTCGTATCAGTATCAGTTGATTTAGAATCTGTAATATTGCAACAAAAACATCATGTTTACTATTTTAAGTCGAATGTATTACGCTCACACTAATTTATTACGAATTTATAACCATGTCGACTGGACTATCGCGTTTCACGCAGTTGCTGACTCATCATCCGCTGTCAGTACTCGAGCCGTCATCGAAGCTTGCTAGATGGCGTTCGATGTTCCTCAAAGTTCTAGTTACGAGCGCGCTACAAGATTTTATATATATATATATATATATATATATATATGCTCAAACTGAGCAATATTTGACAGAAATTAGTATGTTCAGATGAAATTATGACTCAATTAGCATGATAACGACATACAAGGATATTTTCCTTTTGTGGCATATCAATTTGTTCACAATTTGTAATGTATGTGAATAAATTATTATTAATTAAGCGATTATTTGGCCAACATTGGTTGGACTATCTGTAAAGGATTAAACGCTCTCATAGCGATATTAGATACCAGTTTGAAAAGCTGAGTTTTTCTAGTAATTTGTTCGCACGATGTACTAGCAATTTCTCGAGCTAGACACAACTTTATTCAAAGAAACTAAAAACTATACTGTTTTTTTAGAACAACTGTCATTTTATGACTATATTCATTTAATTTGAGTACAAACTATGAAAATCAACCGCATTACCCATACCTCACTTTTTTTGTTATTTAGACCGCAATGTCCAATTGTTGAAAAATTACAAAAACTGAATAATCTCGAAAACTATTGATTTCCTCCTCTACATATATGGATATGTGTTGCATTTTGGGCCACTTATCACGTCCTTGAAGGAATATGGCAAATTACCAGTAATCCTGTATACACTGTCAATAGTGTCAATATATTATATTGTCTTTTTCATTAGTATCCATTGCGTTAGAACAACAGCTGATTATCCAGCAATATTTCAAAATTTCCCATCTCGACAAATGACACATAATTCTATCGGACCCGTCAATGCCAGGTAGGCAGAGCCGTATTTTGTTTTGGTTTTTTGGACGCTATACATTCTGTCCTTGCTAACAACTCTTTTATTTAGAAAAGTTAATTTGCATGCAAAAAAACTCTACAAGCAAGTTTTACTACATTTACACCTGATCCATTATTGCCAACGTTACAGACTAATTCAAAGATATCTCTTGGTGATCAGCTGTTGTTCACTTCAATAGATGTCAAAACATGATGGATACTCGTAAAGTAGGGTTTACGTACTTTCTACAACCTCGTTATTCGAATTGTTTTCAGCTTTATTTTCTACAACTTTATTTATTTTCTTTCTATTCTTTCTATAATCTTCATATTTCTTGTTAGGTTTCCAACCTCTCTTTCCCTTTCTTAATGGTCTTCCATTATCATCCGTATCGGGATTTGAATTGATTTTAATCACTGAAAAAATGTAATTTGAACTACTAAAATCTAAAGTAACGTTATAGTAATCTCACACTTCTGTTATGATTTTACGCAAAACTTGTGATTTCTTACTTTCTTTCACATTGTTTAGCTGAGATGTTTCATCCACAACACCATTTTTCCTCATTTTTCTTGGGGGACTTCTGATGTCATCATTGGAATCAATGTGTTCAGTAACAGATTTAATAATTTTATTATTTTTATTAATCATATTTTCATATTCATCATTTTTACCAGTATTATTGGATTCTGTAATTAGACAAATATTTTAAACTAAAATCCCAGCAGAAATGTTCATTTTAGAATAAACGTGATGATAGGACTACAAATCATACATTAAGTTAGGCACTAGTTTCTCTATACACTTTACCCAACTATACACCTCGCAAGGTATACATTTCTCATTAGATACGCCATTACATCCTTTAGGTTGTGGTTGAGACTTACTTTTAGTCACAGTGAAAATTTCAAAATCCCTACAAACTAGTTATTGAAGTCGGAGCTATTGTATAACCTGCATTTTATTTTGAATTTTTCAATTTTTCAATCCTTAGCAACTCCAATGCGCTCACTTTGCAACTATTGTTTGTTGCAAGTTACATGCGGGAGTTAAAAAAAACCTGAATAACATTGCGAAACAAATTTATACAACAAGAAACATCGACGTTTTAGACTAATTTTTTAATTAACGAATATATAACACAATTTTAATTTGTTCATAGTTAAGATTACTTCAAACAACTTAATATAACTAAATAAAATAATTACTAAACATCAACAAATTCACAAGGTCCCACTGTTTCTGAGATTATCCTATTCGTGTCTCTTTGCCAACAATACTTCTGTTCAACAGAATACCACTGGATTTTTCCTCACCTTTTTCCATATCGTTGTCTGGAGAGTCTTCCACAACTCCCACTGCATCATGTGCTACGTTATTCTCTATTCCAGCAGCTGTAGACTCTACTTGGTTATTTCCAGTATTACTATCTGTTGTTTCAGTATATTGGCTTTTATCATTCTCAAATTCTTTCTCTCTATTCTTCTGTTCAACTGCTGCCTTAACTTTCTGGACATATTTCTCTATGTATTTTATCGACGACTTGTCCAGCCGTATACTCTAAAATTAGATTTTCTTTCAAGCTTATAATAATAATGATAACTTTTATTTATGTCAGCCTCGTCAAAATACAGGTAACAGTAATTATTACAAGATAAGATTATGCACAGTGAAACAAAATTACGACAAAATCGATTCGAAATCATTAACAGAATAATAACATTTTTCTACCAAAAATGCTTGCATACGTTTTTTAAAAGACTTAGTAGCAACTAAGGTTTTGATATCATTTTAGGTAGATGATTGTATATAGCGGCACACTTATACTCCGGGCTTTTACGATAAGCGCTTAGACTGTAATTAGCAATACATATGTCCTTATTATTGTGAAGGTTGTATTTTTTGCTGATCCTCAATGTACAGTAATGGACAAAAGTATATAGACAAATTAATATTAAATTTCTTTTTTAACTTGTTTTATCAATACACCAACCTGTTTACATAATTTGTTATAGCATAATACTCACTTATACATAAATAAATTCATTAGACTCCCTTCAATAAAAAATTAATTGAAAAAAAAAGGAACTAAAGGGTGTTCAGATAAGGACGCTTGAAAGTTAAAATGGAAAAAAAAGGAAAAAAATTTAAGTCAGCACTAAAAGTCTATATTGATCGTAAATAGCATTCGACGACATTATGTATGGAAGATTATATCGTTTAAATGGCCACCGCGACTGCGCTGTACAGCGTGCATTCGCATGGTCCAATTTTCGAGCACTTTTCCGCACATTTCAGCGTCTACCTGTCCGAGGACGCGAATGATGTTGGCCCTTAATGCTGCAATTGTTTGTGGCTTATCCGCATACACTTGAGACTTCACGTAGCCCCACAGGAAAAAGTCTAAAGGCGTTATATCGCACGATCTTGGTGGCCAGTGCACATCGCCGCCGCGCGAAATAATGAAACCGTTGAACTTTTCATGCAGTAAATCCAGCGTTGCGCGTGCGGTGTGGCACGTAGCGCCGTCCTGCTGGAACCAGATGTCTGTTAGATCCATATCGTCCAGTTGAGGCCACAGGAAATCATTAATCATGGCGCGATACCGATCTCCATTGACCGTAAGCGCGTTGCCCATAGCGTCCTCAAAAAAATATGGACCGATTACGCCGCCAGCCCAGAAACCGCACCATACAGTCACTTTAGCAGGATGCATAGCAATTGAGCAAGTCACTTCAGGATTTTGGTCAGCCCATATACGGCAATTCTGTTTATTGACATACCCATTCATCCAGAAATGCGCCTCGTCGCTGAAGATGATTTTTCGTGCAAATGCAGGGTCGACTTGCAACTGCTCTAGAGCCCATGCGGCAAATGTACGGCGCTGTCCATGGTCTTGCGGTTTCAATTCTTGCGTCAATTGAATTTTGTACGCGTGCAATTTCAAGTCTCGACGCATAATTGTCCATGTTGAGGTCTTTGGAAGGGCAAGTTCTGGTGCACGTCGCCGCAATGACTGATTCGGGTCTTGACGCACGCTCTCTCGCACAGCAGCAATATTCTCGATTGTTCTTACTGTCCGTTGCCGTACGGGTGTTGTTTGGTCTGCCACTGAGCCAGTTCTCTCAAATTTATTGAGCAGACGTCGAATAGTGGACTCAGCAGGACGGCCATGCGCACCATAAATTGGACGCAATGCGCGGAACGTTTCACGAACCGAACATCTGTTTTGATGATAAATTTTCACAATTTCCACGCGTTGTTGAATCGTGTACTGCTCCATGATTAAATGTCAAGACTAACTTAATAACCTCACAAAATTTGACAGCTGTATCCCCACCGGTTTGGGCGCACGCGCCGTTCAAACATCGAGCGTCCCTATCTGAACACCCTTTATGAAGGACAAAAATATATATAGACAAAGCAAAACAATTATAGAAAAAAGAAGCAAAGTTCATTGAATTATAGAAAACCAACCATGTTTGTGTTAATATTTTGTAGCATAACCATTATTCTTAATCACCGCATCGCCTCTACATAGATTGTAGAAGTTTCTCGATAAAAGATTCATCAATCTCTCTCCACTTTTGCTCTAAAGCGGCAAAAAGTTCATCCTTGTTTGAATAATTTTTATCTCGTATTTGCTTATCTAAGTATTCCCATAGATTTTCAATGGGGCTTATATCGGGAGATTGTGAAGGCCATTTGAGAACTGGTATTTTTTCATCCAGAAAGAATTTCTTTGCGAGATATGAAGTGTGCTTCGGGTCATTATCTTGCTGGAAGATTGATCTTAAGGGCATATTGTCTTCCATATAGGGTAACATGACATGCTTTAGTCTGTCTGTGTATACAAACTTATCCATAATGCCATCTATTCTATGTAAAGGTCCCATCCCAAATCCCGAAAAGTACTTGAGGCTCAATCTTTGTCCACTAGGACGTCGAACGTAATGAACACCATCTGATCCAAACATATTCAACTTGGATTCGTCACTGAAACATATCCTCTTCCAGTCACAGATGCTCCAATCAACCGTGCAAATTATAATCGGTCTTTACGGTTTTTCCTCGAGATTAGCGGATTCTTATTCGGACGACGTGCAAATAACTTCAAATCATTTGATCTTCTACTTATAGTTTTCGTAGAAACACTGAAAATTCCTTTTGTCTCGATTTCGGCTTTTATTTGTCTAGGGGTTTTAAACGGATCTTTGGACGAAATTACTTTTACTGATTTAACTGATCTAGCATTTAGTTTTCTAGGCCGACCACTTCTCTTAGAGGCTTCCAAGATACATTTTTGTTTATACTTGTTCAATATTGCCCAAACTGCTTTACGCTTCAGCTTCAAATTTTTGGCAATGTCGACTTGACGTTGACCATCTTTGTATAACTCAATGATCTGAGTTTTCACATCGAAAGAAATTTCTGGACCACGCAGCATGGTCATCACTCAACTTATTCTACAATACTTGATGAACACAAACTAATCCTCTTCTGACACGAAACTGTACTAAACTAATGTTGAAAAGAATTTGTCTACATATTTTTGTCCCTCATAAAAAAGTGCTTATATTCAGACTTGTGTTCATTGCAGATAATGTAAAAACAAGGAATTTAGTTTTTCTACTAATAACGCATCTGTTTATGGAGCAACGAAGTATGTATTTGTTTTCTAAAGGTATTTAGATAAATATTTATATTTGTCTATATACTTTTGTCCATTATTGTATGTGAACTTATTATAATTATTTTTGACGAATAAGCAAGCCTCAAGTATCAAACCACTAGGAAATGTCAACAGATGGTTTGACTAAAAGGTCGTACTGCAAGTTTGTAGAGGGCTCAACGAGAATATTGACCGAATAATTTTTTTTGCAATATGATTGAGCGCTGAGCATCAACAGAGCAACCCCAGCAGAGGACAAGGTACTTCAAATGAGGATATATGGTCTCAAAACAAAACAAACATTCTAGTACACATTATCTTTCAGTACGCACTACATAATGATTTGTTTTATGACAAGTCTACGCAAGCAAAGTTCTGCGAAATTTTTGGGTCCATTGTTATTGTATAATATTGTTTTTCTACGACCTTTTTTTGCATAATCTATTATGATCTTATGATCTCTCCAGCTGTTTCTCGCAACTATTACACTTCTACCAATAATTTTGATTGTTCCACCCTGAAGAATGAATCATTTTAGCTTTAACGTGATGGTAGGTTGGTAGTTTACGGTTTATAATAGAATATATACTTGGTTTGGCTTTCATTAATTATTAGCTTATTATTCGTTATCCAAGACTGAAACTGATCTAGTACTGAGTTGGCTTTCAACTCAAGTTCTTCCGGTGTGTCAGCCGCTATACTGATGGACGTGTCATCTGCAAACAACACAAGGAGAGTGTCATCAAAGTTATTATGTTTCGGTCTCGTCGAAAAAAATACTACTTGTAGTACCTTCTTATCTCACCAAGCCCACGAGTTCAAAGCGCGCACGCTTCCTCCTCTCTGCCCGCCTATAAACACTCATTCCTTGTTCTCGTGCCAAACGGTTAACATGGCAATCGGGTGCGCGTACCGATTTTTACGTTTTCAGCCGTGTCTAGGAATCGCTGAACATATTAGACTACCGATCTGTTTTAGGTGCAAGTTAGGTGAATGTTAGTATGGATGCCTCACCAGCTTTGCAGACTGTGCCTGACACGACGTTTGGGATAACCATCCGCACTGTTTGGGATAGCAAGCTGGACCTAGCTTGTGATAGCCAACTCTATACCACGGACGAACAAAGACGTTTGATATAACGCTGAAACATTGGACTCGGTTGCTTGGGATAGCAGCGTGGACCTGGCTTGTGATAGTCAGCTCCACACCAAGGATGAACGATGACATTTGTGATAACGTTGTAAGATTGTACTTGGTTGCTTGGAAAAGCAACATGGACCTATCTTGTGATATCCAGCTCCACACCAAGGACGAATGAAAACGTTTGGGATAACGACTCAACACTGAACTCCGTTGCTTGTGATGGTAACTTGTACTTAGCTTGTGATGGCTAAGTTCCTATGAAAAAAAACAACACTGAAAGCGTTTGGGACAACGTAGCAACCAAGTATGGTCAACAATCTCTTCTCATTTGCTTGAGATAACAAATTTCACCTGGTTTGTGATAACCATGAAACAGGACTGTAAGTTTGAACATGCTAGGTTAGGAAATCGTCAAGGTATATTTTTTCTTATTATCAGATAGAGATTAGGTATCTTATGAGTGGTAAGCGTTAGATTTTTCTTATGATAGCAAATTCCATCTAGTTTGTGATAACCTTCGAACAGCATTGTAAGAATGCACATGACAGTTTAGGAAACCGCCGAAGTACCATTTTTCATTAATAACAGATGTATATTAGGTTTCATCTACGCGAGACTAGCGTTACATTTTGTTTGTGATAGCAAATTCCATCTGGTTTGTGCTAACCATGGAACAAGATTGTAAGGATGCACATGAGAAGTTAGGAAGCCGCCGAAGTACGATTTTTCATTAATAAACGACAGA